ATATTAGAATATTTTAAAATGTTTAAAGTTATTTAAATGAAACTGAACCAAAATTATAAATAATTTGAAGTTGCGAAATCGATAGTTTCTATTAGAACTTGATGCATTTTAATGACATTTTTCTGCTTATTTCTATTTAAAAAAAAGGCATATATTCATAATTTATATATTAAATATATTTATAAATGATCATTATAATCTTCTTCTTATAAAATTATAGAAAATCTATCGAACAGAATATTAAAATTTGCATTTTTAGAGAGCGATAGGGACTTTTACGACAATAATATTTTAAATTTCTCTGCATTATAAATACCAAAAGTTTTATATTCTCACGAAACTTTCTTTTTTTAGAAAGGAGAATATTTAAAGTAGTAATTTATTTTCTATAGCAAATGTTTCCTCTGTTTTTTATGAGGGAAACCTGATTTAAAATCATTATTCTCCTTACAATGTGGCTATCATATTTACGAAAAACCAATAAAATATAAAGTGCATCCATTAAAGTTCCTATCCCCTACCATTTTTTATTTTAATATACAATAAAAAAATATTGAAAGCATTTACATAAATTTCTTTAAAAACTGAAATTAATCCAATATATAATTCAATTCAATTTTTATTAAAGATTCTCCTAATAGTTATTTTTTCATTCTCAAACATTAAATAACTTTAATTAATATAATTTTTATACTATGAAATTTTAACCCCCAAGAATTTGAATTTTCAGAAGTTTATGTCTAAAATTCAGTAAAAAAATCCAATAATTTCTGATTTAGCATTTTATAACTTTTCAAACTTCCTTTAATATTAAAGTTTTTTATTGTAATGCACATACGCGGTGTGTATATAAGCGCAATAAATTGTTATTGAGGTTTTTCTGAATATTATTACCTAAAATAAAATAGTTTTTATATGATTTATATATAAAATGAAAGGGGGAAACCCCTACAACTTCCTCTTCTAGCACGCAATATTGACAGTAAAGCAAACTTTAAGGGGAAACACGAGTTTTTACACTGATTAAATCCTTAATTACGTATTTATATTTAAATAAATATATTTAAGAAGTAAAAACCGAGATAAAACCGAGTTAAATTATTTAATTTTTACAATAAATTAATCCTGTACGATATTATGGATGTACAGTACAGAGTCAAACCTCTGAATAACGACTATTGACGAGAACATAAAAGTGGTCGTTGTTTGGAGGTTATTTTATATGTATTTTTGTTTAAAAATGGTCTCTGTTTAGAGGTGACCATTGTTGGGAAGTTGAAAAGTGGCCTTTACTGAAGGTTCGACTGTATTATTATTATTGTTATTAGGGTGTACTCAGTCTAGGCTGAAGAAAGGGATGAAGATTTCTTTTACAGCTAAAGCTTGGCGTCGAGTAAGGAGGAACGAATTCAAATTATTTTGAAAGTGGGGACCCGCACTCAGCATGAAGTTACCAAAAATTTTAACAGGCTGCATACAAACCGACTTGTGTGATTGTTGGGTAGTCTGGATGCAGCCTGTTAACTGTTTGGTAAGTTTACTTCTATGGTTCCAGACTTACGGGGCACCCTGCATTGATAAACCACTCGTATATCGTCAAGTGATGATAATTAATTAATATTTTAATATATTAAGGTACTTAAAAATGTAAGAAAATCTGATAGAATTTCAAGTATAAATCACTCAAGCAAGCACATTGATGACTTCTGAAAATATTTCCTCATACAAATTGGTGAAGCACCTGCGGATTATAATGCTTCACGCACTGTTTGAGATACTTAAAAAAACCGTTAAAATTTATAAAGTGCTTTTATTATATAACCCAAATTTTAAAAACTAAGTAAGATATTTTTTTAAAGATTCACATAAACTTCTGCCGATTTTCGATTTTAAGCTGATAATTTCAGATGATCAATTAAAACTTCATCTAAAATATTGTTCTCTGTGAGATTGAATCTGATTCTTAAAAAGCTTTAAGTCGTTTAAATTCGATGTAGTGAGTGATTAGTCCTTTCAATTACTTTGGTGGTAGAACGCTACCTTGAACATGGCAGCTTCTATGGCCTGCAAAGTTGCTGATAAGGTAATTAATAAAAGTAGTGAAATCTTTTATATTTTCTTAAAGATTAAAGGTGTACTTTAGCTATAACCATATCCTTTGTCTTCACGTTTGTTCCCACGTGTAGGATGGCAAATAACGGTCATGTGTTGTAGCGCCATCTGTTATCAAATTTTATTTGCAAATTTTAATTATTCGCTAATTTCTTTTTAATTGTTAAAAATGTTTGTAAACTATTAAAAAATGTACTGTCGTTGGTAATACACATGTGCAAAGCTTCAACTAGATCTGAAATTGAGAAGTAAATGAATTGCAACTTTTTACCTGGACAGACGGACAGACAGTTTAAGTTAATGTAAAGGTTTAAAATAATATTCTCTCCCAAACAAAAGCATATATTTAGTATGTTGAACATTTTCGACAGTCGGCCAAAAAGGGTATAATACTCCCAGCTCCTTTCCTATAATATCTCAAGAAACCGATTTGTTCTCAAACCGAAACAAATTTTTTCATAAGAAACAATGTAAAATGGATTTAATTTTAATTTAAATTAATTAATTTATTTTATTTTCAGTTTCGGTGTAAAAGTCAGTTTTAATTATTGCAGTAACCCCTCGTTATATCGCGCTTTTTTGATTCTCAAATTTTAAAAGCATTCGAATCAATAAATTTTAAAATATCAATTGCCATTGAATTCTTTTTTTGCAACGAAATACGGTATTTTATTCCTATTATTGTCCTCGAAACTATCACTGCAGGTGAAACAATAAATTTGTCAAGACCTAAATAAGTAAAACAGGACAGATCAATTATCATTTGTGTTTCCTTTTGATTTGTCATTAAATGTTAAAGAAACACTAATGTTAAATGGGCGTTGGTGGTATCGATGTTTACGTAAACGTAAATTAAATCGATATAACCGAATAAAATTCTGTATTGCAAAATTAAGCTTATTTTATATGAGAAACACTTGCTGATGAATGAGTAGAGGATAGAGATTTATAGCAGGTATAATCTGTTTAGTATAAGCTTAAAATTTTTAGTACTGGGTTATATTGCGCATTTTCTTTGTCTCCCGATAAGAGCGATATAACGAGGGACTACTGTATTTTACTATTTTTAATTTAATTATTATATTTAATTATTAGTTTTAGTTTAATTAACTGGCTACCTAGTATTTATAAATATTAAATATTAATATTATACAGTAGACCCCTATAACGCGGAGATACGTTCCTCGTTATACGAATTTCGCGTTGTAGGAATCCTTAAATACGTGAGCCAATCACAGCCGGACACGTATGAAGTTTACGGACTACGGCTGTTTGAAAGGTTTTCTTCCATAAAATTAATCGATTCTAGACTAATTCGACTTAACATTTCCAAAATACGTATATTTTTTTGGCAATAATCCGTATAAACTATGCTATAAACAAAAAATTGTAGGATTACTTACCGAGTGTGCATTGTTCGACGTCGCCATTGCTCAAGCTTGTTTTCGTCGCGGAGCAGCGCACCAAACGGCGGGCGATTTCTGATAAGTTATTTTTCTGCAAAAACTTCGTTGAACTTTGGAGACATCATTAATATAAATAATTTTTATGGCCGTTGAATAAGAAATGTTTCTTTCACAAGAAATGTATAAAATTACAGTAC